GTTTCAAATGCAAATGACGTCATCACTGCCACTTCTCTACCCAGTCTTTCGCGAATAAAGGAAGCACGTTCTAAGAACGTTCACTGCATGTTTGATTGTTGTGTCAAATGCTTTGGAGCGGTTTAATGAACAAAACAATAGCTGTGCACGCGCGTTATAAATTTTGGTACATTTTTTGCTGTCCTCTGCAAAACAACAACGTGAAATGACCAAATTCTGCGTAGTCTGAGGAAAGCGAACGACGACGCCAATTCTTCGTACAGTCGAACCTCTGGTTGCGACCACCTCTCCTCGGCGACCAGTTTTCCAAAATACCAAAAGTTTCCAAGTCAAATCACTACATTGGGAACCTCTTGTAAGCGACCACCTCTCGTAAGCAACCGCGACCACTGTTAGAGCTAAAAGTTTGAAATTGTCTTTTGTTTTTCACCTCCCGTAAGCGACCACTTGACAGATAATGGAGAGGAAATTGGATAATAAGGTGCTGTAACATCATCGTATTCCTGGGTAGTGCAAGAGACGGAAATTTCTCGAAATTGACTTTTCATATGAATAAAACACTGCGTTGACATTGCCGCATGGGGTAAATCTCTGCCGTTGCCATACCCTAATAAGGCAAAATTTCGATTCAATATGGTCTGAACTCTCGTTAGCGACCACCTTCCGTAAGCGACCACCTAAGCTTGACATTTTACGGGGGGTTCGACTGTATTTCCATTTGGAACTGAACGCTATCATTGCGTATATTTAGCCTAATTGGCGTACTGAACAGATCTAGACAATTGCGAATTTCGCTGGTAAAGTGTAAATTCATTTTTGACTGGGCGTCGTCCTCGCCGTCGCCATCGTCGTTGCTTAAGCTCTCTAATAACATCTTCTCAACTTACTTTCATAAATTGGCATATTTTCTTTGTCCTTTAGCCTGGAGACTCACATTCTGCGCGCTTGAAGATCAAATAAACAATCACACGTTGGCGAAAGTTAAACCCGAGAGAACAGAAGATGACAGCAGGAGTTGGCATTGTCAGGTTTACTTTTTGATTTGAGGTTAAAAATAAGGACAAAGGACTTTAAGCTAGAGTCATTGAAGGCTAAACTGCTTGGCTTTTTAAAAAGAGGACAACAGTAACAACAGCTAAAACCGTATTGATCTCTGAGAACCATTTTATTATATCATTGAAATTTACAACGTACATAAAAGATTACATAAAATACTTCACATCGTAATTCTAAAGCGGTCTAATATTTTGAAATAATGAAGAAATGACTTAAAAATATCATTATACATTGAACTCATTATCTCTTTTCTGATTGGCCGAAAGCGTACGGTGAATTTTCTAAATCAGCGCTTGTGACGTCATCTAGTTGCAGATTATACACTAATCATGTCAAGGACAATCAAGGTCACAGGTAATCATGTCGTGTATGACCGCGGTGCATGATTTCTAAGGGTAATCATGTCAAGTTCACGCGCTTTGTGTTGCTTGCCGTCAGTGAAGAAGCAAAACCATGACTTCCATTTTTTTTTTTCGTTCAATGTATAACAAAACAATTATTAGATTAGGTTTTTGTGATATCCAGAATAATCAAAATCTCGGTAAGGGTTATCAGTCTCAGCCTTCGGCTTCGACAGATAACCCCTACCTCGACCTTGATTATTCTAGATATCACAAAAACCTCATCCAATAATTGTTTATAATACAAATCGTAAAATCTGAAGAAATTAACGTTATGTACGCAGGGAACTATCTGGAACATGATTTCAAAAATGTCAAAATGCGAAAGTTACATCTTTAATAATCAAGCCTAAATATAATTCTCCTTCAGTTTATTACTATTTTTCCATATAATAAATATATTTATAAAATTTCAATCCATAAGGCAATGAAGTCCAGGGAAGCCAATGAGGCGTATGAATTATGAATAAAAATTCTATCAATTAATCAATTCTACAATTAATCTAACATGATTTATCGGAAAAAGTCAATCAAAGCTAAACGCGCAAATGAAAAATTACACTCTGACCAAAATTTGGAAATTTTGGGAAAATGGAAAAAAAACCCACAAAAACTGATTACAGTTCACTTAATATTTTCATCTTGGTACTCTGCAAACAAATTTGGTGTAAGAGCAAAAAGACTTAGTCATGATTTTTATGCTGGCTTAGCTAAAAAAAAACCCAGCAAAGTCAATGTGCTCCTTTAACAAGGGAAGTAAGATGCTTAATGCCTTTCAATAGCAGCAAGGACTCGTTGCTTGATGC